CCCCCCTCCTCCCATCCTGACCCCACACCCTCACTCCCCGTGCCCCCTCCTCCCATCCTGACCCCGCACCCTCACTCCCTGTGCCCCCTCCTGCCATCCTGCCTTTTCTTCCGGAGGTCTGTTGTCCTCAAAGGTGACGTGACTTGGCCAGGACTGCACAAACCAGACATGACCCATGTCCCTCACAGTGGCCCGCAGGGGTTCCTGTCCTGGCAGGGAGGGGTCTGTAGCCCCAGGCCCACACATGTGTTGTGAGCTCCAGTCATGTCACCCAAAGGCTCAGAGCCCCCCGCCACCTGCCCCGGGTCCCCTCTTGGGGAGGAAGGATCTTCCAGCTCTCAGTCCTGCAAGAGTCCTGGCTGGCTACTGGCCATACCTGACAGGGTCCCCCAGCGGCCCCCAGCCCCAGCCCCTCTGCCTCTGAGGAGCCTGTGGAATGTGAGACCAAGAAGACGGAGTCAGCATTGCCAAAGTCACCGTGGGACAGGGCTGGTTCTGATGAGCCAAATGGGTGACGGGCAGAGAGTTGGGGCTGGCGGTGCCTGGTGCCCCTGGGCCTCTCAAGGGCTGAGAGCTTTGCACCGGCATCTCCCAGTCCCCTCAGGGGAGCCTCACAGGGCAGCCTGACTTCAGTCCACCCCAAGGGACCTGCACCTCAAAGCCTTGCCCCTTGAGCCGTCCAATGGGAGACGGCCCAGGCCAGCAGTGTGGCACACTGGTGGGCCTTCCTGGTGCGGAGCAGCGGTTCCCCCAGGAACAGGCCTCCTGCCACTGCCCAGCCTGATGTGGGGTCAGGTGAGGAGGGGAAGGGGAGACTGGTGGGGGTGTGGACTGGCCTCTGGCCTCCCTGTGATGCCACCAAGGGCATTCTGCCTGGCTTAGCCACCCTGCTGGGCCCACGCCGCTGGAGGGGAGACCCTTCTTCCGAAGCCCTCTTGCCTCTGAAGACCCCACGGCTGGAGCTCTGGTCACCTGAGCGTGGCTTCTGTGGTCACGCGTACCCCTGCCCTGGGCCCAGTCCCCGCCATGCCCCAGCAGCCTCACCTCGGCTCTCGTCCACGTAGATGAGATAACGGTTCATCCCGTCCTGCTGCTCCAGCATGTAGCTCACCCAGCAGCCCTCCGAGTCCCTCTCCTTGCAGGCCTTGCCCTTCACGGGCTTGTCCCGAAGCTGCAGGCCTGAACATGCCACACTGCAGTTCTTCCCAAAGGGACCCTTGTTGAACTTCAGGCACTCGGCACAGGAGCTGAAGGGGACGGGGAGCAGGGCGTGAGTGTGGGAGCCAGGGTGGGCGGGGGCTCAGGCATTGGGGCTTGCTCTTGGGTATGTGTCCATCAGGTGGGGCAGGTGGGGTTGAGGTGCCCTTAGGCCAAGGAGGGGTCCAAGTGGGGCAGATGCAGGGTGCAGTGGGTGAACTGGAAGACTGATCCCAGGGCCTGAGGCAGGTGTGCATGGGAGGGAAGAGGGGCATGGGGGCACAGCGCCGCTGAGAGCCGCTCAGTCAAGCTGCAGGCGCAGAGAACCCTGGGCTCCAGAGGTGCTCACTGGAGGCCCCAGGGTGAGCCCGGCTGCTGGGAGGGTGTCCTGGGAGTGGGGATCCCCACCTGCCCTGCCCTCCACCTGCACTCACATGTATTTGCCACAGGGCGAGGAGCAGACGGGGCACTCCTGGCACAGAGGTGGCTGGTAGTCTCCGTCGCACACACACACGTTGCAAAGGCACCGGCCACGGCCGCTGCACTCCACCTGGTTCTGGTTCAGGCAGCCCTGGGTGGTCCTCTCGCACTGGCAGGCTGAGCCCTCGAAGCCCGGGAGGCAGCGGCACTGGCCACAGAAGCAGACCCCCCTCCCTGGAAGATGGCAGGGGGCCAGCATGGCTCAGCTCCTGCTTGGCGTGGGGACTGAGACCCGCCCGAAACCCCACCCGCAGGTGCTCCCTCCAACCGGCCTGCCTCCTCCAGCCCGGGGGATGTGCCTGAGCAAAAGGCACCGGCCCACCAGCCAGGCCTTCCTGCCCCTGCCAGCCATGCGGCCACCTCCTGGCCAGTCTGAGCCTCCCCAGGCCCACTGTGAGTGGGACCTCAGTGAGACTGTGACTGTCCCTCCTGTGGGCCCTCCCCACAAGGGCACCTTGCCCTCATGGGCACAGGAACTTCGGCAGGGCGGAGTGCAGGGTGGTTCATGTTCCTGCTGACTCCCAGTGGCCGGGACACTTGTGCTGTCTGTCTCCCGCTGTTCTGTTCTACCCCCGCATGGTCTAGCACGCACCCCCCACGCCGCGTCTGTGCAGCGGGATGGCCTTTGCGCGGCGGGGACCCACACACAGGCTCACCCGGGCCGCCGCAGACCTGGCCATTGTGGCGCTCACAGCTGACAGTGTCACACTCGCAGAACTGCCCGTAGATCTGCTTGCCAGGGACGTCACTGGTGTGGCACAGGCACTGCCCACAGATGCAGTCCCCCAGCCCCGAGCACACCAGCGAGCTGTTGTCCTTCCGGCAGCTTCCCTCCAGCTCCTGGCTGCTCCGGCCCTGCGTCTGGCACTCACAGTTTTTCCCAATGTAGCCAGCGTCACACCTGGGACAGGAGGGACCCCACGGTCAGGCTCCCTTCAGTGATGTAGGACCATGACGTGGGACAGCCGCCCCGTCCTCCACGCCCCTCCCATGGGACAGCCACACGGTCCTCCAGGCCCCTCTGTGACGTGGGACAGCCGCCCCGTCCTCCATACCTTTTGCCCTTGGTGGAGAACACCCCCACTGCACTCTCTGTGCATTCCTCAGAGGCCTACTGAGCACCTGCCACGTACTAAATATGCTTAAAGCATTTAGGGGCCCTGGGCTCCCTCACCAGGATGTCCCAAGGGGAAAGCAGATCCCTGGCTTGGGCCTGTAAGTGCAGTGGCTCAGCGACTCACTGTAGGACTCTGTTGTGGCCATGCACGTGGCCCGTGCTGGGACACCAGTGCTCTGTGAGTGGCTGGTGTCTGCTCCTTTGTGCCCCATGCAGTGGCCAGTGGGGACTTGGCACTGCCACTTGCGACCACCCTGCCCTCCCTCCTGCCGGCTGCTACCTGCATTTGTGCACTGACTGGTGGGTTGTGGGAGGATGCGGGGACAGGGTTTTTATCAGAGGTGGAAGCCAGCACCAAGCTGCTGGCGAGCAGGAGCCGCACACACCCTGAGGCATCCTCAGAGACAGCCCTGCCATGGGCTCTCCTGCTCCCCAGAGGAGGAAGCCACAGGACCGAGCATCTCAGTACCTGTGGCAGGGCACCCCCTGACACCGCCCGAGTGTTCGGAGTCACTCCCGAAGTCCCGTCGGGAGGCTGCCCCAGGGCTGCACACCCAGGACAGGGGGCAGGGTGGCCACTGAGGCACGGGGACAGCCACAGAGACCACCAAGACCATGGAGACCATCACTGTCCTGAGATATGGGAGGAGGTGTGGGAGCAGGAGGGGCCTGCAGCTGGGGAAGGGCACTGCCACCAGGGCGTTGACTGGCACAGCGGTCAGGAGAGGGGAGGAGGTGGCCACAGCAAAGGGGGCGGAGCCCCTGGAGATCAGCCCAGCAGCTCCAGCCAGGCAGGCAAGGAAAGGGGGATGGCCATCCAGCCCCAGGGCAGGCCACCTAGCCAGTGCTGTGTAACCTCCCCGCTGGGTCCACCTGTCACCCGATTCTCCCTGTGGTGTGGCACCCACGCCTGGCAGGGGGTGTGCACGTTCAAGGAGTGGCCTAGGGGCCCAGCCTGCCAGAAGCAGTCACCTGTCCCAGGAGGCTCTCTGGCCACCCATGCCCCAGGGCTGCCAGCCTGGTGGTCCTGGGTCCCCAAGGTCAGAGGGAAGCCGGCTCCTGGGGTCAAGGGAGGCCAGGCAGAGAAAGTGACCCACTCAAGGCCATGGGCACACCCAGTGGGGACTCCTTATGCCCCTGAGATGGGTCTCCATCATCTGGCGAGGCGTCCTCCTGCCCACCAGTTCCCTGCCGTGGGTCCTCCATGGCCAGAGTGTGGAGTACAGGCCTGTATCACTGGCGCCCTGGCTCAGTAGCACGAGTGAGGGCTTGCGGAGGGGTTCTGGTTTCCAAGCCCAGATCTTCCCACCTCCTACAGAAGCAGGCCCCCAGGACACCTGCTGTACGGGGTTGGTGAGGGTTCACGGGGACCTGTGCCCACCTCACTTGCAGCACCTGCCTGTGGCGTGGGGTGGGGGAGGGTTCATGGGAATCTGCGCCCACCTCACCTGCAGATGCCACACTCCAAGGAGCCCTTGCCATGGCAGAGGCTGCGGTCCCTGCTCTGGTCCCGGCACCGACACTCACACTGGGGAAGGACTCGCACGGTCACGGTGTCCGTGAAGCCCAGTGCCCGGATGACAAACGACTGCTCTGGGATGCACTCTGTGGCCGTGACCTTCACCTGGAAGGTGATCTGCAGGGCAGCATGGGGCTCAGGTGGGGGCAGCCAGGATCACAGCCCCACTCCCGACTCTTGCCTGCTGGCCTCCGCAGGGGCCTCAGGGGGTGTCCTCAGGGTGGGGAGGAGAGGACGGCCTGGAGCAGGGAAGAGCTGATGCTCAGATCTGAGAAGCTGAGGGCCGCCAAGGAGCTGCTCTGCCCTCACACCAGGATCTCCAGGGCTACACATCAGCAGAGACAGGTGACACGCAGACGGCAAACCCTGCTAAAGCTGAGCACACTCCCACTTGGACCACCCAGCATGAGGATCATGTCCTGGTAAAAATCCATGAGCGGACTGGGCGTGGTGGCTCAGCCTGTAATCCCAGCACTTTCGGAGGCTGAGGTGGGCAGATCACCTGAGATCAGGAGTTCAAGACCAGCCTACCCAACATGGCAAAACTCTGTCTCTACTAAAATACAAAAATTAGCTGGGCGTGATGGCGTATGCTGTAATCCCGGCTACTGGGGAGGCTGAGGCAGGGGAATCACTTGAACCCGGGAGGCGGAGGTTGCAGTGAGCCGAGATGGCACCACTGCACTCCAGCCT